CGATCCATGGATGGCGTTTCTTGAATCTGTGGGTGTATTTTGGAGTTTTTTAATTTGATGGAGTTGGACAAAAGTGTGGATAAGGATAATGATGAGAGCGTGCAGTGGGAAAGTGGGTGTCGTTATCACCACCGCGGGTTGCTTGGAGGATCTTTAAACAGATTCATGGAATCTAGCCACAGTAAAAACTGGATTATGATTGCCGGATTCTAGTCATCAACTCACCAAATAAAGACAAGTGCGATTAAACTGGCAAGTAGGATTATTACTTCTAGAAAAAAAAATAAAAATTACGGAGTATATGTTTTCTTCAATTATACAACCCGTTTGGTTCGCTGAGAAATATTTGAAGAGAAATGGAATTGAAATTTCATAGAAAATAAATTTCAAGAAAATAGATTTCATTGTTTGGTTGTTGAAAAAGAAATTACTGAGAATATGAATTCCATTATTTGATTGAGTTTGGAATGGTAAGGAATAATGAGTATAATGACAAATATAACCCTACACAACAATAATAATATAATAATAATAAAAATAATTAATAAAGGATGGTGAGGGTAAAATTATCATATTAGTTTTCTATGGAAAAAGTTTTTCATGGAAAACAAAATACCTAGCATAAGCTAGGAATTTGTTTTCCTTATTCTTAAGGAAAATTTTTTTCAATGAAAAATGTTTTCCATCCAACCAAACAACATAAAACATCATTTTCCTTCACTTTTAAGAAAATATTTTTCATCCAACCGAACACCCCCTTAATGTATTAATATTAGCTCCGTCAATTGTTTAAAAAATGGTGATTTTTGTTTTTCTTTTTTTGGTTGTTGTTTTTTGTAAATAATATTGTCCGGTTTTTAAATAGTTCAAATTCAATAATTATTTTATTTTATTTTTTTCAATTTAGAATCGAACTAAATCATACTCCGTAACTGGAACCATCCTTACAGCTTTTGTTCCGTTGTTATAATGTCCAATTGGATTGAACTGAACTGTAATTATTTCTACATATTTTTTAAGAATAATAATGTACATTTAATATAAGGAGAGACTCGCGATTTTATAAATTTCCCTAAAAGTATTACTCCACTACAAAATTTCTACATGCCATATGGTGCCACGGCGGTGGAAGCTAATCATCTCTCCGGCACCAGGAATGAAATATTCAATATATATTTAAATATATTCATTTAATATGATCAATAGGATTTAATATCACTAGCGGCAGTGTGGGAGCAACCTCTCAAAGTGAGGGGGCTTTTTGTGCGCAGTGAGCACCGGTCTAGCCTCTGTGGTTCATGCTCAGTTAAATCACCATGATTTACATCCTCCCAAAATACTCTGTCAGGCCGAGGTGTGGGGGGCCCTTAAGGTTGGAGTTCAGCCTTTTGGAAGAAAATTTTAAAAGACAGGACAGGACAGGATGCAGCAAACGTAGACTTGACTTGTGAGTTGCGACTTGCGACGATATATTTGAATTGACTTCTTTTATGAAAGTATAAACTTGAGGAGGTGGTGTTTGTTTCCGATTGTAACCCTACAAAATGCTATCACCTTATCAGGTTAATTAGGTTACTTGTAATGCCATTAATTAAACAAGTGTTGTGTCTTCATGAGCATAATTTAATTGGTTAACCATGATTTGAATTTTATCAATGACTAAAATGTACTAATACATAAATATTTACATTACATTCGAACCACTATAATTCTTGTGTTCTTTATTACTTTCATTTATTTACACTTTGCATACACATTCACATGAGAATCACACAATCACCACACAAATATTTATTCATTTTGTTGTGTACAAGACACTAATAAAATTATCAAGTGTTTTATTCTCTGTCGTCTAACAAATTTGAATTATTCTGAATTATTTATAAAAGTCTATTCAACCTCCCTCTAGACTTTTATCTTACTCTTTCGAGAAAAGTTGTTAGAGGAGGTAAATCGCGAGTCGTCCAATCAATTTATGGTCACACTTCCGTCAACTTAAAGATCCCAACCTCTAATCTATGTTTATTTTTAGTATATTGCAAGTTTATTTTTAGTAGAGGTTCATTATTAAATAATACACTAAAAATAAACTTATAATACATTAAAATGATCTTGTTTCAAAATGTAATAAATCTATTAAAAATAAATCTATAATACAATAAAAATTAATATGTAATATATAAAAAATGAACATATATTTCAATAGTTTTGCTTATAGTGTGACGATAATCCACACTCCACAGTCCACAATATAACAATTACAATCGTTATGCTATGGACCCATGTCCAGCATACATGGTGAACACGGTAATGATGTTGTAAGTGGTACTGTTATCTTTCACCAATTTTTTTTTTTTAAATTTCATACCGCTTATTTCCTGATGATAAAACATCCATTTTCACGAGTTTCCTGTCGATCAAGCTTCCATTTCTTCTTCACACAAAAGCTCTCTTCAACGCTCATTTCTCCCATTTCATAATTATAGGAGCATATGTTCATAATTTTATCACTATATGTTCATAATGTCAGAGCTCTGTATTCATAATTCCATAATTGTACATTCATAATTCCATAACTGTACATTCATAATTTCATAACTGTAAATTCATTATTTTTGAAGCTCTATGTTCATAATTTTATCACTATATGTTTATAATTGTAAGTTCATAATGTCATAGCTCTGTGTTCATAATTTTATAATTGTACATTCATAATTGCATAAATGTACATTCATAATTTTATAACTGTACATTCATAAGTTCACAAACGAATAATGCTGTTAACGGCGAAACAAAATCATTTTTTTTAATTGGAATGTCGTTGTTTTGAACTCGTTTCCACAATGCATAGTGGACACGAGTCCACAACATAATTTGCCATAACAATTGTCTTTTACGCAAAAAATTTGGAGTTTTCAATGGCAAATTATACTGTGCATCCGTATTTTTTTTAAAGAGAGACGCGCGTTTTTAATAAAACGACGTCATTTTTGCATCCGTATGCACAATTCATTGTTTTGAATGGTACATACGGATGCACAGCATAACTATCCGTTTCCAATATTACTGCCACACAGGGCTGCCGATTTTCATAACCTTATTGCGGCCCAATAAAAAGCCTATAAAGGATGGAGGAGGCAAATTACAATCATTATAGGGTGGACCATTGTTTATATAACTATGTTACTATATGTACCATATTATCAAATAATATATATTCAGTATATAGATAATGTATTTTTAATATATTAAAAATGTATATTATATTATGAAAAAGTACATTATTTGAGTACTGAAAATATATTATTTTATATAATATACATTCAATACACGAATAATGTACTTTTAGTATATTTAAAATGTACTTTTTGTTGTGGTCCACACAGCACTGTGTGGACCATGATTTAAATTATTGTGTGGATAGTGGTCCACACAACTGTGATCACGGTCCAAAACAATGTCGTTGAATTTTATGAGTTAGAATAATGTATATTATGTGTTAAAAATGCTATTTGCATAATTTTTGAGTTGTTAATGGTCTAATTGCACAATGTGTAAAAGTTCAGTGGCCTATTTGACACTTTTTCTTTGTTTAATTATTATCATGTGGAGTTCAAGTCAATTAATTTGATTATTAAATAGAGTCAACTTTGAGAATTTAATAATTAGTTCGAGTAGTTTTATTTTAAAAAGTTTTTATTTGAATTGCGTTGTATTTCTTATAACATATATTTGTTAGATAATAAGGCCTTTTTTAATATATATATATATATATATATAGAATAAAGTTCAAATGCGGCGGGGTCTTCCCGTGCGGTGGTGCGGCGGAATTCCAGAATACACCAACAGTGTTAACAATATGCACCAACAATGTAATAAAAGCACACCACAATTAAATGTAATAAAACATCACAAAATACACAACAGACTCAAAAAAATACACCATATAACTCACCACCCCAATGGTGTATTTTCGAACAGTGTATGGTGTTTTTACTCACAACTAATGGTGTGTGTTTGGTGATGCAGGGCTCTGTTTACTCTGTTTTGTGTGGTGTATTTTCCTAACGTTGATGGTGCATATTTGTTGAACTATTGGTGTTGCCGCACCGTAAGAAATCGCCGCACCGTAAGACACTGCCGCACCTGAACCCGCCTATATATATATATATATATATATATATATATATATATATATATATATATATATATATATATATATATATACACACTAGTATTTGTCCAGTGCGATGCACGGATAAAAATTTATAAGTATATTATTGTAATGTTATGATACAAAACAGAATTAGTTTTATTAAAATTGTAAATATAGCTATATAATATAATATTTAATATTTTTAAAAGTTTAATTATGTTATTACTATATTGAGTCAAATTAATTATAATTGGGGTTTAAATAAATATATACACTTTATATTAAATATAAAACATTATTAATAAATGTGAACACAATAATGTTAAAACAATAAATGTATTCATATTGTTAATCTCATTTGCAATAATGAACTTACAAAGTTAAACAAATAAAGAAAGACCCGTACCACCTTGTAATTTTCACAAAAAAATAATAATAATGAACTTACAAATTTATTACTTCGTAATATGCAAGTAGAAAAATTTTTTCCCTACTTGATTTTACTTTACCTAATTTTTTTTGTAAATTATTAAAAAATTAATGAAAATTACAAACTATTAAAAAGTTAGTATGTATAAAAAGTTAGGACTTGGAGACTTTTTGCCATGCACGTACTCATACTATAATGATTTTTTTTTGAAGGGTTTCTATAATGATCTTTTTTGAAGGGTTTCTATAATGATTTATTTCTATATAAATGGACAATTTTGCGATGTACTGTTTCTTTAAACACATACTGCTACTCAAATATTCAACATTGAAACACATAAAAATAAATCATTACAATGTTATTTTATAAGATTTTAAATATATATAATGCTAAATATAAAAAATTCTAAGCCCAGGCTTTAAAAAAAATCAGCCCAACACTAATCCATTGCTGCAGCCCATAACCCGAAACTCAATAGACCCACATATAAAATCTGTTCTCATAACCCTAATCATTATCACCAGACCTTTTGACTTCCCACTCCCTGCGCTCCGGCTTCTCTCTAATGCGGCTGGAGTTGCTGCGTAGCTTTACCAACTGGATTATATTGCTGCTACGACCTCTCCCGGAGGAGTTCTGCACTAAGATCTCAGTGATCTGAAGGGACGGTGTCGGATCTGCAACGCTGCCACTGAGTTCGGCTGCCCTGTGGTGAACGCTCCCATCGCAAACACCATGTTCAATCAGCTAAGTTCATATTTCCCGTAATTAATTTTCAGGTAAATAATATGGAAACACAATTTTATGTCTTTGTTTTTTTTTTTTTATAGAAAAAACGAACGTGGCTAGGTATGGGTTTCTTTTGATAGAGTCAAAAAAAAAAAAAAAGAAGAGATTATTGGAGAAATCAGTAATTTATTTGAAAGATCTTGGTTACAATATACATGCATGTTTGATACATCATCAGATCTGGGATTTTAATCGTGATGTGGTCAGATTTCAAACCTAAAAAACATGGATCTAAGCTAGTATATATTAATGATGTATTTTGTTTTTATATATATTTGAAGTATAATTCCAGTGTTTTTATTACTTACAAACGATTTCAAACCTCACACAGATTTGGATTAATGGGTAACTATATAAACCCTAAATTGTATATTAATTTAAAATGAAAAATTTTTAAAATTCTTTAATTTGTAATTACATATATTATTCTTTTATTGATTGATTTTTTTCAATGCAGGTATGAAGCAGTATAGTAGAAAACATTGTGGAGTTACAGAAAATGCATATAGATCTTATGAATAGTATAAGATAAGTAAAAATCACATCTTCAATAATGTATATTTTTTACCGTAATAAAGAATAATAGAATGTGTACTAACCTTTCCATTTGATGGTTGTTTTCTCTTGTTGCCAATAATGGTTGGTGTTGTTATCCTCTTCATAGCTGTGATTTTTTTTGAATAAGAAAAACCAATAATTCTGTTGGGCGTAAGACTATGTATTTATAGGCTAGAAAAATGTAAATAATAAATTTGGTAATCAATGCATCTTTTCAGATACCAAAGAGATTGTAAATGTAATTGCACAGGCTTGTCTAATGAACAGCTTGATAATAAATAGACACCAATTAATCTACTAATTATTAAGATGCTTCGTATACCGTGAAACTTTTTGAAATCTGAAAAGTCGGCTCCCAAACGCAGTAAATACCGGTAATTTTGCAAAATATATATATCATTCTCCTAAGGGGGCGTTTGGTTCGGGTTATATAGGATAACTAAGGTTATATTGGGTTAGTTATCTAACATTCCTATGTTTGGTTGGAGTTATATAACATTCCCTTGGAATCAAATATTGCCTCCACATCAGATTTTTCCTTGTTTGTGAGGGAATGTGATTCCCTTGTTCATCTTAGGTAATGTTAGATTCCCTTGCCATTTTACCTTCCTTGCCCTTCATGTTTGCAAGGTGATTTGTAATATGAGGGTATTAAGGTAAAATAACCATTATAACATAAACAACAAATCATCAACCAAACAGGTTTATATTACATAACTCAGTTTTTACCAAACACAGGAATCTAACATTCCCAGTAATCTAACATTCCCAACAATCTAACATTCCCTAAGGTAATCTAACATTCCGTGAACCAAACGCCCCCTAAACGGCAGCGTTTTGTGTGGCGGGAATTGTGGCTGAAATTTGGCGGGAACTATGGATTCTGCTTTATATTATAGAAGATTACGAGTAACATTTATTGAATTGTTGTTACGGTTTTATTTAACACTAATGATTATATTGTTTCAGAGTTAACTTCTTTTGTCACAAATAAATACAACATTTGTTACCATGGTTGTTGCCACAACAAAGTCATTATCTGTTACCACTTTTTACGTCACAGATGATCACTTTTGATTCAACAACAACTCTCACAAATAAGTACAATTATTGTGACTAAAGTATTGTTACAGTAAAATAATTAATTGTAATGATTTTAGTTGTCATTATATCATTTTTTTCTTTTGTAATATGGAGTAATATATTTGGTCACAAAATGTAAATTTATGTAAATTTATTGTGACCCTTACAACACGTTTGGTTCACGGAATGAATTTTGAGGTAATAGGAATGCTATTCCATAAGGAATGGAATAGGCAAGGAATAAAATAAGAATTGTATTCTAATATTTGGTTCGCGGAAGGAATAGACTTTAGGAATTATATTACAGTGTTTGGTTGATATAAGGAATAGAAATGAAATATGTTTTAAAAGACATAAATACCCTTATAAAAATATGTGATGGTGGCGATGGTGGTGGTGGCAGCGATGGTGATGGTGGTGACGGTGGTGGTGATGGTGGTGGGGGGCGATGGTGGTGGTGGTGGTGGTGGTGGTGGTGGTGGTGGTGTTGGGGTGGTATTGGTGGTGGTGGCGGTGGCAGTGGTGGGGGCGACGGTGGCGGCGGTGGTGACGGTGGTGGTGGTGGCAATGGTGGTGGTGTTGGGGTGGTAGTGGTGGTGGTGGTGGTGGCAGTGGTGGCGGCGACGGTGGTGGTGGTGACGGTGACGGTTGTAGCACTAGAGGTGGGGGCGGCGACGGTTGTGGCGGCGGTGGTGGCGGATATGGCGGCGGCGATGGTGGTGGCGATGGTGGCAATGGTGGTGGTGGCGGTGGTGGTGCTGGTGTGGTAGTGGTGGTGGTGGCTGGGGCAGCGACGGTTGTGGCGATGGTGGTGGCGGCGGCGGCGGTGATGGTGGTGGTGGTGACGACGGTGGTGATGGTGGTGGTGGTGACGACGGTGGTGAAATATGATAAATTTATATATAGGATAAAAAATTAGGTTAAAGAAATGGGTAAAAAATAAAATAGATTCTAAAATCTATTCTTGAGCGTTCAGTGGGGCCTAGTAATAGCTATTACCTTATTTGAGGTAATATGCTATTACTAGGAATATTATTCCTGGTAATAGAAATGGTTACCAAACAAAGGAATAGGACTATTACTGGGAATGCTATGCCATTCCCGGCCTATTCCGTGAACCAAACGGGCCATTATAATTATCACTCAAATAATACTTTCAGTGTAACTAAACCTTGTGACAAATGTCTTGAATAATTGTGACAACTTTTTAAAGTTGTTACTATTAACGCGTTGTCTTTTTAAAATTAATTTGATGTATATGAATGAGACTGAAAATGAGATACAAATATAAAACTCATGCAGGAATGTTAGGCAATCAAATATGTGTGTTTGTTTGATTTAGCTCTTCGAACAAATTGCAAAATCCAAATAAAAAGAATTAAATCTTTATAAATTATAATCACTTGATTAAAATTTTGAATTAATTTGAGTTAGTATGTAAACTAAAAGGCTCAGCAACCATTTTTCTATTTTAATTATCTCCAAATATTATTTTAATTTATGTAGTTGTTTACGGATTGTTTTATAAGTTTTTTTTTCCATCAATAAAAGTTTATTTTAATATTTGCTTAAATTAAATCTAGAGAGACAAATACTACAATGTAATAGAGCTAGTAGCATTCAAAAAAAAAAAAAAAATCTAGAGAGACAATATTTAAAGTTGAATCTTGCCTATAAAGGCAAATCCTCACCCCAACGGGCACCTCGACTCTACAGTATTGTTAAATCTAATATTAGTGGTTCATTTGTTTACACATATAGTAAGTAGTGATTTTTATTTTTTTTTTTTTTAATTTTTTACGGTTGGTGAGAGAAATAAAGGTGGAATTGATGAAATTAATATGAGACAGATACACAATTGAATTGCATAATGAATATTGCAGGGTATACTAGTGTACTTGTTACTTCAATATTAGTAAGTACACGAAAATTATATGAAATTTCAATACAACCAATTGGAGAGCTGAATAAAAATATATTCGGAAAATAAATAGAATAAATAAATAGTAAAACTAATTGTGTATAGGTAGCATTTTATTATTATTCTTTTTCTTGTGATCCTAACTAGTAAATGATCACAATGAGATAAATCAGTCTAGGTTGCATATAGCTAACAGTCTCAAACCATGAAGGTTAATAGACAGTTTTAGTGGTTGAACTTGTAACATTATAGTTACAAAGTGGGGTAAATAATTTGAAGTTGAATTTTTTATAGAAATGAATGTATAGTAGATAAAATTAATGAGTGACAACCACCTTAGCAGACTCCATATGATATGATGTTGTTGGTCGGATCTGATCCATTAGTGAATTACATTCTACTATTGGTTAATGTCCCCATCTTCTTGGCGATCCCTCTGAGAGCAAATTTTTGAATTTTTCCGGTGGCTGTTTTTGGAAGCTCCGCCATGAAAACCACCGTCTTGGGCACCATGTAATGTGGCAGTCTTTCACGGCAAAACTCTATCATCTCCTTCACGCTGGGCTGACGATGATTATTGTTATTGTTGTGGGTGAAACTTACAAAAGCGCAAGGCGTTTCTCCCCAGAAATCGTCCGGCCGCGCCACCACCGCCGCCTCATTCACCGCCGGGTGGGAGTAAAGAACCGACTCCACCTCCACGCTACTCACATTCTCGCCGCCGCTGATGATAATGTCCTTGGACCGGTCTTTTATTTCCAGGTAGCCGTCCGGGTGCATAACTCCGACGTCGCCGGTATAAAGCCACCCGTTTTTCATGCATTTTCTGGTAGCTTCGGGGTTTTTAAGGTACCCTAACATAACGCAATCTCCTTTTAGTATTATCTCCCCCATTGTCAACCCGTCTCGCTTCACGCTCTTGCCGGAATCCGCCTCCACCACGTCCACCGCCGCCGTCCCCAGCGTTCTCACCCCTTGCCTCGCCTTCAGTTTCGCCCGCTCCACCGCCGGCAATTCGTTCCATTTTGGTTTCCACACGCACGACACCACCACCCCCGCCACCTCCGTCAGCCCGTACCCGTGGCTCACGATGAACCCCAGAGACTCGATGCGGAGGACGACGGCGGCGGGCGGCGGAGCCCCGCCGGTGAGGAAATGGACGGGGTTCTTGAGAGGCTTAGCGCGCGGAGAATTCGCCAACATGTTGAGTACCACGGGCGCCCCGCACATGTGCGTAACGTTGTATCTTACTATGGACTCGTAAACGCCCTCGGCGTCGATTTTCCGCAGGCAGACATTGGTGCCGCCGACGGCCGCCATTCCCCACGTGTAGCTCCACCCGTTGGAGTGGAACATCGGCAGCGTCCACAGGTAAACCGGCCGCTCCGGCACGAACCAACCGATCAACGAATCCACCGTCATGACGAAGATTGAGCGGTGAGAATGCACCACTCCTTTGGGAGATGAAGTGGTGCCGGAGGTATAATTCAGCGTCATCGCCTCCCATTCTCCGGCCGGCCGGATCCAATTGAACTCCGAATCCCCATTCCTCACCAGCCCCTCATACGTATCATATATCAAACTATTCCTCGAAAACGTCGTCCACGCAACATCGTACCCGTCTTCAATCAGCACCACCGTCGGACGTTTAACCCGCGGCGGGAGCAAAGAAACCGCCTCAAGAACCAACGGGCAGAACTGAAAATCCACGAAAACCATCTTCGATTCCCCGTGGGCCAGAATAACAGAGATCGTCCTCGCATCCAGTCGCGTGTTAATGTTATTAATAACCGCGCCGGCCATGGGAACGGCGAATTGGAGCTCGTACGTAGCCGGAATGTTGGGGGCGACGACGGAGACCACCTGGGCCCTCCCGGGGCCAATGACGGCGGAGATGGACGAACCCAGACGGCGGCAGCGAGTGTAGGTTTCAGACCACGTGTAAACGGTGGAGTTGTGTACCACGGAAGCGCATTCGCCGTAAACAATGGAAGCTCTTTCCAAGAACGATAATGGCGTCAAGGGACAGGAATTGGACATGGTTGCTTTCAATTGGTCCATGGCTAGCTCAATAATCTCTCTAAAATGGGTGTATGTATAGTTACTGCACAGTGCACAGAGAATTGAAGATTGACATAAATAAGCATGGGGACTGGGCTGTAACGTAACCCGGCCTTTTATTACCAGCCAACAATACCAACATTTATGTGTGCCGGCAAAACAGGAGATCGGAGTATTATTACATTCATGGGAAGGTGAAGTGAATTTGCTGGAAATGACAACGCACCTCATATATATATAATTAATGAAACAACCACTAATATTATTGGTTCTAGAATTTATAATTCCTTGTAAAATTGTAGGTATACGTAAATAAGCAAAAAGTTCCAACTATTGAGGAGTTGAGTTGTCTTTGTCAGCCAATGAGTAGCTTCCACTTGTCAAAATAGGATTAATGTGTACTCTTTGGAAATTAGAAAAATGAGTTATTTTTCAGAAAACATTTTCATTTCTCGTGTTTGGTTGCATCCTAGAAAACTGTCTTGGAGTGTTTGGTTCATTTTTTATTTTTTTAATATTTATAATATACAATAATTGTGGTGGCGGCAAGTGATTGGCTGCTCCACTGCTTCTCCAAAAAAAAAAGAGAAGTCAATTTTTGAAATATCCCCTCTATTTTTCATTGACTTCCATTTTCTCTCTCTAACCAAATACTGAAAACTCGGAAAATGATTTCTAAAAATCATTTTACGGGTTCCCAAACGCACCCTTAATTCAAAAGAGTTCTACTAATTTGATTCCCAAATCTTACCCCCTAAATTTTGTTCCCTGATATAGCACTATAATTAAGTTACTTTTTTTTATTAGGGTTCCAATACAAGTGTCTACATCAAGATTTTGTGTGTTGAGTAAAAGTTGGGACTTGAGAGTAAAAAATAAGAATACGTATAGTATTTTTAAATTCAAAAAATAACTTTTTGTAGTGCTTCTGATTAACATTATTTTAGATTCAAAACGTCTTTTCCAAAAAAAAAAAAAATTAGAAAATTAAACTATTGTGGTTTGGAGCCTTAAGGCTCATCTTATAGAGTAGCTAAACACCCCTTTTTGTTTTTAGGAATAAGGTTCAAATTGGCCACTGAACGTAACCTAAAAATGCAATTAGGCCACTGAACGAAAAAAAAGTGCAATTAGGCCACTGAACACTCCAAAAATGTGCAATTTCACCTGATAGCAGGTTACCCTCAATTTTAACAGGTTATCTGCTTACGTGGCAGCTGAGTTGGCATTTTAAATAAATTTTAATTAATTTTTAATAAATTTTAATAATAATTTTTTATTAAAAAAATTTTTTAAAAAATAAAAACGACTTTATTTTATTTTTTATTTAATTTTTTTTCAATTTTTATAAAATTTATTATTAAAATTAATTATTAAAAATTATTTAAAAATTATTAAAAATGCCAACTTAGCTGCCACGTAAGCAGGTAACCTGCTAAAATTGATGGTAACCTGCTATCCGGTAAAATTGCATACGTTTGGAGAGTCTAGTGACCTAATTGCACATTTTTTGAGTGTTCAATGGCCTAATTGCACTTTTTTTTCGTTCAGTGGCCTAATTGCATTTTCAGGTTACGTTCAGTGGTCAATTTGAACCTTATTCCTTGTTTTTATTTTAAACGTGGGATCAAGGATCCATACAAAAGGGAGCTTGTACGCATGCAAGCTCCCATTTGTATTAATACCGTGCAATTCTCTTGTCAAAATCATTGACGAAATTCACTATCAGCTATCTGTTAATCAATTCGTTAACTTAATTATCACTGCCAAATTAAACAAGGCTGATATATGTTCATAAAGATATGATGTGATTGAATATTTGAATTGAGTAAATATGTATTTATGTGTATTTTCTATAGATCGTACTACATTTGATCTAATAATTAATTGGTGTACAATATAAATGAAGCGTATTTTTTAAAAAATGAAGTGAAACTTAACAAGTTATAGGGCGTTTGGTTGGAAGGAAGGAATTAAAATGGAAAGAATTATTGAGAATGAGAATGAAATAAGTGGTATAAAGACTAAAATATCTTTATGTAATAATAATAATAATAATAATAATAATAATAATAATAATAATAATAATAATAATAATAACTACTAAGGGCATATTTGTCATTTCATCCCTTTCTTCCTTTCCTAGATAGAACTATAGAAGCAACGAATTGTAATTCTTGGAGGTATACATATAAATTGTAATTCAGATATCAAATTGTAATTTCTTCCAACCAAACAATGTAGTTAAAACTTTCATTAAATTTCAATTCAATTATAGTGTACCAAACGGGTCATTATTGTTTAATACAGTCTAGCTGTTCAATTCCTTTTTGTTTGTGAAAGTTATGTCACATGCATGCACTGTTAAGCTTTATTTGGTTCATGAAAAAGAATTGAAAATTAATTAAATTTAAATTATATTACATGAAAACAATTACTTGGAATATTGATTCAATTGTTTAGTTGATAAAAAAGTTATTAAGAATAATTATATTAGTATAAAGACCTACTCAAATTTTCTACACAATAGAAATTAAATATGTGACGATAATATAAAAATTTATGTTGTAATTTTTCTCAAAAAAATGTGTGAATAAAATATCATACAAAACAATAGCGAAGAATTCATTTTCTATTATAATAAATTATTCATCAACCAAATAAAGTTAAAATATGCTTTTTCCAAATTTATTGAAAAAAAAAATCAAAAAATTTATTTTTCTAAGAACCAAACATGCCATTACGTTATTTCATGTCACAAAGATCTGTGTGAAGTATATATTATGAGGTATAAATCTCAAATATGTAAAAAAAAATTTAAAAAATATAATATTTTTATAGATCAGATCATCACATAATCTATACATCTAATAATGATAATATTTTATCTAAATAAAAAATTATTATTGGATATAATGACTACTATTGTTATTAGCTGTTAAATTTTTTTGAAAAAATATGTGCCTAATAACTAATAATAATTCCAAACACACTATTATTGGTAGCTGTTTGATGGCATTATTCGAAAATAAAACACAACATATCCATATATATCTCCTAGAAGCAAGCATTTATTTTTGCCAGCAAAGAAGATAATTTAACAAATGCAGATGCATCCACTATCTTAGACATTTCAATTCATTCCAACATTAAATATAGACCTACATTCAACGATAGTTAATTACTACCTCAAAACAACATAAGAATATTCTCAATACGCACAGATTTTGAGAAATTTTTGTAGTTTGCACGTTAATAGAAGCGGGCACGAGGAGTATACATGCCAAACTGGGCACATTTTGGTGCTTTTCACACGACAAGGGACAAATCTTTTTTTTTTTTTTTTTAAGTGTGTATGGAAGTCTCACTTTAGAGACAAAAAATCAGGTGATTCTTGATCAATGATCAATTTTATTCTCTTTCCTCTATGTAAGCATTACAACCTCAAAAAAACTTCTAGAAAAAGCATACTAAGCAATTGGACCAAACTTTTAGTTGAAACAGTTAGTAGTTATGATGACAGGCACAATGCATTAATTATTCGACTTTTGTGTTTGGCACACTCGAGGATCCCATCATTCCATGTAAAATAGTTTGTATATTTAATTTCTTGATTTCTAAAAATCATTCAACTCAATATCTATTTTATTTAAAAGAAAGTGTGTTGCTATTTGTATCACCTTCTAGTAGAAAGTGAATGTAAATAATATTAGAATAGTAAAAAGTGAAATTTTTTAGTAATTACATAGATGATGTAAATATGGCTATTTACACTAACTTAATCAGGATCGATTTATTCTATGGTGAAACATCCAAAGTATAACTGCACACTCAAACGATTCCTCAAGTAACTAAAAGGCAAGCGATTTTTGATAATTACAACATGTCGCAAAAAATGTAATTTATTAGATTCATCTTACTTTCCGTTCTTGCTCTTATTGTCATTCCAAGAATTCTTGTCCCATATGTGAGCTTCATATCTCCCACTCCACCCATGCCTAAACAATTTTAAAAATTTGAAGTAAAAATTAACGAAACTAAATTTTTTGCATGCAATCAAAATTGACAAAAACTTCATAAAACCCATAAAAAAATTTTAAAAATTTGCAAAAATAATATTCATGCATGCAATTGGAAGTGTCAAAACATAGAAATTAAGGACCCGTTTGGTTCGCGGAAAATATTTTAAGGGAAATAGAATTAAAATTTCATGAAAAAAGTAATTACTAGGAAGATGAATTTCATTGTTTGGTTGACGGAAAAAAAAAAAAAATTACTGGGTATACTAATTCTATTGTTTTGTTGTATTTGAAATTGTAAAAAATAACGAGTCCATGAATCAAACATTAAAAAAAAAAAAAACAACATTTTCCTCCACTTTAAGGAAAAAAAATTTAATGAAAAAACTTTTCCATCCAACCAAATATCCCAAATTAAAAAAAAAATAATAATCATAAAACCAGTTAAAGGGGATTTAGAACCAGTTGAGCGCAAAGTGAGCACAACCAACAATTAAAGACAAATTCTACAATTTCCCAATAACTTAGAGATGAAAAGTGTAACTTTCGAGTTCATTCAATATATACATAAATAGATTTTTTTTATTGGCGAGACACATGCCTAAAGGTATTCACATCTTTACAACACCACCGAGCGAATTAGTTGGAATTTTAGATGATGATTATTATGGTCTACCGCATTGGCGTAGCGTGTATAATGAACCTTAGTTACAATATGTTTTCTTTGGGTTTACCCCTTCCTAAATAAATAAAAAAAATAGATTTTTTTTTTAAAAAAAATAGGAGGGAGACCAAAAGTGTAATTTATCTATATTATAATAATATATACATATATATTTACTAAAATTTGTGGGAGGGGGGGGGGGGGGGGGCTACCCCAAGGGGTAGCTCCGCCCCTAAAAGCAACATCTCCCACTGGTTTGTTTTTAATTACCTAGTATGCCTGTGCGGGTATACAAAATTCTCCCATCCCCGCACGCATTATTCAAATTGTGCGGGTATTTTAAAACTCATAAAGGCGGGGATACGGAGAACTCATACGATGCGAGTAAGATTGTCATCCTTATTTGTGACTTTATAATATGAGATTTATAATGTAGACTAATTTGTAATTCATATTATTGAAATTTATTCTTAGTTGAGTAATTACTTGTTTAGTACTTATATTTATAATGTGCAAAAATATTCTAAAAGAACTTTGACTTTGATAAATTATCTAACCACTAGAAATTACTATTCCATGTCTTCGTATTAATATTAATATGGAATACTTACCTTAAAGTTTATCCAAATAAATAGAATAAAATATTTATAAATATTATATTAATTACAGAAACCTTGTGCAATTTATAATATATTTTCTATTTGAACAAAATTTTCCAATTAATAATGTTTTATTCTTTCTTCATGAATATCTTTTACTGTATGTGTTTTAAATTGGTTAATTTTTTTGCTTTGATATTGTTCAATAATATTTCTAGTTCCATCCTATGTGTAAATTATTCCATTTTTGGGTTACATAATATTGTAATCCCTAGATGGTCGAAAAATATAATTGTAAAGGTTAAATTTCAGGTGAGATCGTCTCATGTGAGAAATGTAATATTTTTTTTAAATAAAATGTAATGTTGTTCTATAATGTAATAAAATCTGTTACATTTTAATTATTACGTATCTCATATTAGATATTCATATTCTAATATATGACTTATTCAATTATGAGTAATTGGTGACAATATTCAGTATTTGAAAGAAGAGACAAAGTTCGAAACTCGACATCGAGTCATCGACAGTATGAAAATTATGCTTAAAGTGACAATATCCTTTATGCATACTGATATTTAACCATGTTTGCTGAATCAATAAATCACCATAATTTATATACTCTTACATATGTTATCGAATCAAGATATAAGAAGCCCTTGAAATTAGGGATTCAAACTTTTCAAAGAATTTGAAGAATAACAAAGGTTAAAAGAGGAAAAAGAGACATAAGTAAACGAATTAGGACAGTGAGCTGAGGCCTGAGGGCCTGAGGCGGAGCGCATGTGACCATATTTAAGGATCGGACGGCGGAGATGAATTTAAGATTTGCACGCATCGGCTAAATTAAATATTTAAATTCCAAGGTTCAAAAAAAAAAAAAAAATTAAATTCCACTTACAACATCATCCACAACCGCCTCATTAAAGTTTTTTTTTTTTCCAAGGTTAGATCTAGACCGGTAAATATGGACACGACCCGAAACCGGACACGAAAATAACGGGTTAGTGTTTAGCCTTAATGATGAATGACGTAATTAAATGAGCAACATCTCAAAGTGAGGGGCGTTCCTTCACTTCCTTGTGCGCAGTGAGCACAGGTCTAGCCTCTGTGGTTAATGTTTAGTTAAGTTATCATGATTTACATCCTCCCAAATGCTCTGTCGGGTCGGGGTGTGAGGGACTCTTAGAGTTAGGGTTCAGCTTTTTGGAAAAATGAATGACGTAATTAAATGAATTGTTAATTGAAATAAATTATCATTAAATATTATGTATTTCATTATTTCAATATATCTCCATTTTTTTAGTACGTGTTAGACAATAAAACTCTTGAGTTGGAGGAAGAAAAGCGTTGGAAGGAAAAAATAAAAATTAAAACAAAAAACAAAAGAATAAAAAGCAAAAAAACAGAAAATAAAAAACAAGGCCACTTGCTTTCCCTGGAAGTGGCACGGGTCAAATCTCGTCTGCCACTTCCTTAAATTATTTTTATATTATATATACAAATAAAACAAGTAAAATAATATTATATAGAGAAAATGGTCAAATAAGTCTTTAAATTTTACTTGAAAGTGCAATTAGACTCCTGAATTTTAAAAAAATTACAATTAAACAATTACACTTGTCAAAATGAGCCAATTAAGTTCGATTTATCGGTAATTAGTAAAATTATAACCGTTGACCACTATTCACGGCCGTTAAAAAAATTTAATTGCCATTAGCTTTCTCCGATTTTTTCAATTGGAGAAGAAAACTGGCGACTACAAAATTTGAAATGTTAAATTCAAATTTAGACAAAATTTATATTTTTAAATATTAAATTTGAATTTTAAAATTAGTTTTATTTAAACTCATATAATAAAATATAGATGATGTGAAAAAGAAGACGTCAACAAATTTGAAAAGAAAAACTAAAGAGAGTAGCATTGGAAGGAAAAAAAAAAAAGATATTGATTGAGTGGTGATGTGGAGTAGTAAACCCCACAAATATTTGAGATTTGACTATTTGAGGGATAGATATGGAGATGCCCTAATGGCTAATTGACTTATGGAGCTTTTAAAGATGTTATGAATGCTTTTTAATATATCAAATTAGTTATTTATATCAATATTAGTATATATAGCATTGTTTTACCTACTTACCCGTCATCATTGAAGTGATTTTGCAATAGTGTAATCCATATAAAATGACTTAAACTGACATGCTTTTATTGAACCATAATAGATACGTATCAACAACTCTAATTAAATAAGACAAAATACAATGTAAAATGATTAAAAGGGAAGTAAAAAGTATGTCATGTATCTCTCTCACACACACACATATATCATCAAACATGCAAATTAAAGTATGTGAAATTAGGACAATTTTTAATTTATTTTTAATGCAATTTGAGTTAAAAACATCTCACTCTTTACTCCCAACATACTATTATGTTAGAGGAAATGACAACTCCTAGTACATACCATGTAACCAATATGATCTAGTTGTATTGAAAGAATTTTTTTTTTTTTAAAGTCTCAAAGACATATATTTTGCTTGTGTGATTGTTTGACTACACATCCTTTAAGTTCAATGACTCATCAATTGCACAAAAACAAGAAGTTTAGTAGCCTATTTGACATTTGTTTACTATATATATCTAAAACTTTCAATTAGAAGGAAGAGATTCATGTCCAAGCTAAGTGTCCAACTGAACTCTCACGGGTAGCTCAGTTGGTTCTCAAGTGACAGATTACACTCAAGAAGGCAAGATTAAATCGTGACAATCACACTGCACGAGTTTCACATTCTTGTGTGGGTGACTTCTTTTGGGCATTATATACTGATCATTCTGCTTAAATTATTACTGAGTCACCGTAATTTAATTATTCTTCGATTTTTATAAGATTAGAGTATGTGAAACTCGACAATGAATTTGTAATTTAATGGCACGAAGTGACTCTCGTGTGAATGGGAGATCATGGATTTAATCCTTTTGAGGTAAATGATTTCACTTTTTTTTTTTTTAAAACAATTTCACTTTTTGCATCGAAGATTTATATCCAACATAAAATTCAACAAGGAAGACATTCATGTCCTGTAGAGAGGGAGGTTGAAGTGATGGTCGCGTGACATATGCTGGTGAAAGATGGTACAGAAAAGAAAAAAAGGATTAATTCATTGAATAAATAATAAATTTAATTAGTCGTTTTATCTGTCATAATCTGCTGATTAAAGTATATAAAGACTTATTTCAAAAAATATATATATATATATTTATGGGGTGTTTGGTAGGATGAAATTGTAATTCCATCCCTACCAAACTCCATGGAATTGTAACATGCAATTTCATTTTTACTTCATCCAGGAAAGACTAATAAGTTCATTGCAATATGCAATTTCATTTTTACTTCATCCAGGAAAACGCCAAAGAGGTGGTTGTTAGGAGTTGGATTGGATTTGTATACTTCTATTATTGAATTCCAGGTAAAATCAATTGTTGTTATCGTAGTCATATGTGTGCTTTAGTTCATTAAATTATTTCCCATTTGTTTTTTTTTTTTTTTTTTTTTTTTGAAAACATTTCCCATTTGTTCTTATAATCTTATCTCAAGACATTTATTTGGAATTTCGAATTCTACTCTCGATTATATCTCTTAATTTTCACATTTTTATTTTGATCTTTAAATGTGAACATTAAGAAAGCAAAATAACATATATCAGGATTTGCTTGATATATATAAATTAATCAAAGAATAACACCTTAACATGGAATAAAAAATAAAGTAGAAAGTGAGAATACATGACTCAATCTTAAGAGTGATGGAATATTAAAGGGATAAAAGATAACCTAAATTTAGGCTTAGACAAATTAGGTCAAAGTAATGTTCCTGTTACTAATTCCTAATCCCATCCACGATTGTCCTGATAAAAGGAGAATGGGGTGCAATCCCTAATCTCATCCACGAAAATCTGTACTTGTAGACTGTAGTTCAATCGTTGACTCAAAAGGAAGCGCCGGCCGCCGGAGAGAAATCAATGGAGCAACTGAAGCCAAGTCCGCCCAATTCAACTCCACTAACTCCTCTCTCTTTCTTGGAGAGGGCCGCCAACATATACGGCGACGCCGCCTCCGTCGTCTACAACGACGTCACCTTCACCTGGTCGGAAACTCATCTCCGCTGCCTCCGCCTCGCGTCCTCCATCGTCTCTTTCGGCATCCGGAGAGGCGAGGTCGTCTCTGTTCTCGCCCCCAACGTTCCCGCCATGTACGAGCTCCATTTCGCGGTCCCCATGGCCGGCGCCGTCCTCAACACCATCAACATCCGCCTCGATGCCCGGACCGTTTCCGTCCTCCTACGCCACGGCGAGTCAAAGCTTATGTTCGTTGACAGCCAGTACAGGGATTTGGCAATCGAGGCTCTGTCTCTGTTCCCGCCGGATTCGCCGCGGCCCGCTCTTGTTCTCATCGCCGATCGTGAATTTCCGGCGGAGCGCAGCGGCGGGGAGTTCGTTGAGACGTATGAAGGTATGGTGGAAAAGGGCGACCCGAATTTCAAATGGATTCGCCCGATATCCGAATACGACCCGATCGTACTGAACTATACCTCCGGCACGACCTCTGCTCCCAAGGGGGTGGTTCATTGCCACAGAGGAATCTTCGTTATCTCATTAGATTCCCTAATGGAATGGTCCGTTCCGAAAAAACCGGTGTATCTGTGGACCCTACCCATGTTCCACGCTAACGGCTGGAGCTTCCCGTGGGGAATGGCCGCCGTGGGGGGCACAAATATCTGCTGCCGGAAAGTCGACGCCGCCAACATCTATTCCGATATTCGCAACCACAACGTGACGCACTTGTGCGGCGCTCCGGTGGTGCTCAACATGCTAACAAATTCCGGCGACGGTAAGCCTCTGCCGCGTCCAGTTCAAATCCTGACCTCTGGAGCGCCGCCGCCGTCGGCGGTTCTGTTGCGGACAGAGTCGCTAGGGTTCGTAGTCAGCCACGGCTACGGGTTAACAGAAACCGCCGGGATCGCAGTCTCGTGCTCGTGGAAGGACAAGTGGAACAAGCTCCCGGCGACGGAGAGGGCGAGGCTGAAAGCTAGGCAAGGGCTGAGAACCCTCGGAATGGCGGAAATGGACGTCGTTGACCCGGAAACGGGAGCGAGCGTGAAGCGCGACGGGTCAACTCTGGGCGAAGTGGTGCTCCGAGGCGGCTCCGTCATGCTGGGATACCTGAAAGACCCCGAAGGAACCGCGAAAAGCATGAGACCGGACGGGTGGTTTTACACCGGAGATGTGGGGGTTATGCACCCGGACGGCTACCTAGAAATCAAGGACCGGTCAAAGGACGTGATCATCAGCGGCGGCGAGAACCTGAGCAGCGTGGAGGTGGAATCGGTGCTGTACACGCATCCCGCCGTGAACGAGGCGGCGGTGGTGGCGAAGCCGGACGAATTCTGGGGCGAAACGCCCTGCGCTTTCGTCAGCTTGAAACCGCACATCAAAGAAAAACCAAAAGATACAGACATTATAGAGTTCTGTAGGGCTAAACTGCCGCACTATATGGTCCCCAAGACGGTGGTGTTCAAGGAGGAGCTCCCCAAGACATCCACCGGAAAGATTCTGAAATTTGTGCTGAGGAAGATGGCCAAATCCATGCCCGCCACCTCAACCTTTAGCAGACTGTAGCGAGTGGTGACTGGGATTCCGGCCGGGTTGACTCAGATACTCATTTCAACTTAACTCGTTTGTTTTTTTGTGTGAGTTGTGCATGCATGTGATTGTGGACAAAACAGTCCATATTATATGATTATATCCACGTATGTAGGTCCCACTTGGGCGCTTATATGTCGTTTTTGAAACTGATATCTTGCCAATAAGTGAATGATAAATAAGGGAAAATGACACTTTTTCCCCCTGAGTTATATACTTATAGCACTTTTTCCTCCTATATTATTTAAGTGGCAATTTCCCCCTCTGATATATTAAATAGACATATTTACCCTTAAAATAAATATTTCCTTTATTTTACTTCTCCAACAAATTATAACCACAATTTGAAAAAATAAAATACATTAATTGTTGAATTTAGAATACTTTAAAAATAAAAAAATAAAATTTTAAAATAATGTTTGAACCAACAGTTCAAATTGGATCCGAAATTGTGAAACAACGATTCAAAATAAAAACCAAATCGCGATTATATATACTTATATGTGAGAGTCAATATAAATGCGAAAAAAAACATACACTATTTGCAAATATTATAATTCTAATTTTAAGCTATTGCTAGTAGTTGTCCCGATTTGAACCTCTGGTTCACGGTTCAGAATCTATTTTTCTCCACTTCACAATTTTAATAAACGGAAACCCAAATATTGGGTTATGTTATGAATCATAACCGAATTTTTTTTTATTTGATTGCTATAGTGTTCGGTTCAGTTCGAACCGAACCGTGGCCATCCCTACGTATAAATAATAATTTGTTGAACAAGAGAAATAAATAAAATATGTATTTAAGGGTAAAAATGTCTATTTAATATTATCAGGGGGAAAAACCGCCACTTTTATAACAATTGAGGGGGCAAATGTGGATGCATGAATAACTCAGGGGGAAAAAGTGCTATAAGCATATAACATAGGGGGAAAAAGTGCCATTTTCCCGATAAATAATTAAGGAATAAGGTTCAAATTGGCCACTGAACGTAACCTGAAAATGCAATTAGGTCACTGAAAAAAAAAGTGCAATTAGGCCATTGAATACTCCAAAAACGTGCAATTAGGCCATTGAACTCTCCAAACGTATACAATTTCACCGAATAGCAGGTTACCATCAATTTTAGCAGGTTACCTGCTTACGTGGCAGCTTAGTTGGCATTTTTAAATAATTTTTAATAATAAATTTTATAAAAAAATTGGAAAAATTTAAATAAAAAATAAAATAAAGTCGTTTTTATTTTTTTAAAAAATTTTTTTAATAAAAATTTATTAAAAATTAATTAAAATTTATTAAAAATGCCAACTCAGCTGCCACGTAAGCTGATAACCTGCTAAAATTGAGGGTAACCTGCTATAAGGTGAAATTGCACATTTTTAGAGTGTTCAGTGGCCTAATTGCACTTTTTTTTTTCGTTCAGTGACCTAATTGCATTTTCAGGTTACATTCAGTGACAAATTTGAACTTTATTCCAATAATTAAAGATACCATGATCCCTCGATAGGGTTCACCACCGTTGACGCCATATATTGTGGGGTAGGTCACAATATTTATAGAAAAATAAAGTTATATGAATTTAGCTTTATTGTTGTGAATACTATATAACTTACAATTATTATTTTTTGAATGATGATAAAAAAAATTGCAATCACTATTTAAATACCTATGCTGAGTAAATCTCATCTTCTGATTCTAGTTAGTAAAGTGTCACGATGAGGTATATTAACCTAAGTTATTTATAATTAATCGGTTCAAATAAAATTAAAAAAAAAATCGAGTCTAGGCAATTATTCTGTGGACCCGAGTCCAAGATACACAATTTAATATAAAATGTTTACAATTTAATTTTTAAAAATTCATAATTTGTGATAACCATGTATTGTATTCACAAATTTTCAAACTTAAAAACACAATTTATATTTTACAAGTTCACGATTTCAATATTAAAAACACACAATTTAGAACTAGGATCCACCTTATAAGGTGGACTTGGTCCATTGGTATAACAAATGGGGCAGGACCACTAGACTTATTTATAGTATGTCTTGTAATGTTACTTTCTTGTTTTAACGTTTTATGTTTTTCTCATTATCTAAAAAAAAATACATAGCTCTTTATTTATGTGTTGATATTGAAATAATGAATACGTTGAACTTTTTATTGGAATATTATTCTCATACAATTGCACTTAAATTAACTATATATATATAGCAAGTTCTGTGTCATTTTTTAAGGTTTTAAAATTGGTAAGTATTACAAAAGAAAGTTTTATAGTACTATACCCTCATAAAAGTATACTCCGTAGTATTCTCAAAATGAAATTAAAAGTGACGAAATATATTTGTAAGTGAATGGTTGATTAAAAATTCAGAATGTTAATCTCTTCAAAAATAAAAAATTTTAAAAAAATCAGAACGTTAATCTTTTTTTTTTTTTTTCTACTTTTTTGTCTACTTAGAACATTTATTAATATTGACTCTTTGACTCTTTTTCTCCAGCGGCTTATTCCTTTTCATAACATTTATTAATATTGAGTCTTTCACCTCTTTGTGGGAGCGACTTATTCATTTTCATAATTTGAGATGGTCAATTATGAACAACTTAGTTGGTTTAACTTATTGTCTTCTTTTACTGGTTAGAGTCACACACTCTCAACTCTCAAATAGTGATGACAAGTTTCCTTCGTCACTCAAAAAATTAATATGGACTAGTTCTCATTATTAAATTGAGGCAGTTTTATTTTTTTTGACAACAAACTGAGGCAATTGATTAAAAAGTTTATAAATTGGAGATGATCCATTTGCATATGCACGGAAAAGTTAATATTTGTGTAGTGTCAGGGCCGTTCCAATAAAAATTGGGGTCCTGTGCAATATTTGAATTTGGGCCCCTTTTTCAATTAATTTTTATATATAAATAATAATTGTTCAAAAAGTTGTCTTCAAAAATCCAGATGAATATTTTCTAGAAGACATAAAATCCTAAGGAAAAAATAAAAATTTATTTAGAAACCTATGAATAGATAATTAATCAAGAAAACAAATTCTTGAATATATTATTCTGAAATCAGAATTATTAAGTCATGTAAATAAAACAATAAACAAGAATTGTAAAATAATACGTAATTTTAATTACCTATCAAGAGAATTGAAGAACTTGAGAGTTTGAGAATTGGAGAATCAGTATCACACGAGTAGAATCTGTCATCTTTCCCAAATTTAAATTACCTAATCTAGTTCAAATACACAAATATTCAAATTAAAAAAATTCAATATTTGAATTAATTCAAATACCTAGAATTCACAAATAGCACTCTCAAATTAAAAGAATAAAAGTTCAAATACCTAAATTGTTAGGCAGTAAGCAATTTGTTGTAGTTTGAGTCTCGTCTCTTCCGTGATTTCTCTTTCCGACTTTCTTTTTTTTTTTTGAAAATTTCTCTTTCCGACTTTCTGTTTGTGAAACTTTAGAATTTTGATTAGGTTAATATAGGTTATATAGTTAATAGGTTCTAGATTAGGTTAATTTAGATATTTGTTACGTATGTTGGTGTGAAAGTGGCCAAGTGGGCTTTGGTTTTTTAAAGAAAGGTTCACTAACATTGGGCTTTCTTTAATTGGTTGAAGTCCAAAAGCAAAAGCCTATATATGCTATATTTTTTTTTTAATTAAGGGGCCCCCAAAATTTTGGGGGCCCTGTGCGCCTGCCCTGGGCAGACATGCCCAGGGACGGCCCTGTGTAGTGTCTAATCCCATCTTGTGACCTTAACTGTCAAAAGATCACAAAGAAGTAAACTAACATAGGTTACCTATAGTTGATTGGCTCAAACTAAGGGGGCAATGATTCGAACTCGTGATCTTGTGGTTACAAGTGTGTGGATCTCTTGTTATCTTGACTGAGGTTACTCTAATATTGTGTAGATTTTCTTCCCAAAAGGTTGAATCCTCAATCCCAAGGGCCCCTACACCCCGGCCCGACAGAGCATTTGGGAGGATATAAATCATGGTAACTCAGCTGAACCACATAGGCTAGACCTTTGCTGCGCACAAGGAGCCCCCCTCCCACATTGCCGCCGGTGAGACTCGATCCCGTCTGGTCATTCTTCCCAAACTTCACCCATATGACCAACTGAGCTGCCCCTGCAGAAAAATATTGTGTAGATTTGATTGCATAGCATGAGGATGGCCTTACATGTTTTTCACGATCCCCAAGATGGTATTTATTGGGTAAATTATATTGTGAACGAGAGTCCACCTTGACATGAACATTATATTAAAATAAAATAAAATAAAATTTAATGTACATAAATATTATGCTACAAATACACTATAATTAATAACTTCATCAAATACTATGTCTATAAACTTAAACCTTGATGTACAGAAACAATAAAGTAAATGTACATCTCATTTACTCTATAGTAGATTCATAATATTCTTTCTATATGTTCATAAAAACAAAACTTAATGTACATAAACGTTACGCTAAAGTAATGAATTTTATGTACTTATAGATTTTTGTAAAAAATTTAAAAATATTAAATATATCAAGATTGGTGTCATTTAAAAGATCTCAAATAGGGTTTTTTAGTGGTATATATTTTTATATTATAAAAAAATATAAAGAGAGAGAGAGAGAAAAAAAAAAAAAAAGATCTGTTAGGTGTATGTAATAATATACAGCCTGATTCACAATATAACCATCTATATTAAATGGCTTTTCAATTATAGCTAATATGGTTAGAGTAGCTTAGTCCACACTATGGGGGAATCCTCTTTTTTTTTTTTTTTTTTCTTTTTTTTTTTTTGTGGAAGCAAAAGAAAGAAGGGTGATGGATATTTCTGAGTAGGGTACCTAGTCTAGTATGCAACTTAGTGCTTGACGGCTCGACTAGGCGACCAGTGTAGGTAACCAGTTGGGGTTCCCGAGGCTAAATCTTTGCTTACTGCGCACAAGGAGCTCCCCTCACTTTGAGAGGTAGCTCACACACTGCCGTTGGTGAGTCTCGATCCAAGGTCATTTTTCCAACTTTTCACCTCTATGACTAATTGAGCTACCCATTCGGGTGGAATTGTTTTTTTTTTTTTTTTTTTTTTCAACATTATGAAAGAAATGTGGCAGCTTGGAAGGTTGCCTAAGTT